AGGGAGGGAGGGAGGGAGGGAGGGAGGAGGGAGGAAGAGGGAGAAGGGGGGGAGAGGAAGAGAGGAAGAGAGACAGAGAGAGAGAGAGAGAGAGGCAGAAACACTGCTGTGAAAGAGAAACATCAATCAGTTGCACATGCCTAGCCTAGGTTTAGAACCCACAGCCTGGGCATGTGCCCTGACAGGAATCGAACCCACAACCCTTTGTAGCTTGGGACTATGCTCTAACTAAGAGAGCTACACTGGTCAGGGCAAAAATATATTTTTATATACACACAAAGTATATTTTATATACTTACATAACAAAGTATATTTTGTGTGTGTCAAAAGAGAAGGAATTGTAAGATCTAGAAGATGGAAAAAATAATATTAAAATTGGAGCACTGGCTACCGTGTAAGTGCTGACAGTATTTCATGCAAAACCAAAATGGAATAGGTGTTAAAATTAAAATTAAGTCATTTGACATCTCGATCACTTGAAACGAAGGTTGAAAGACTGAGGAGATGGCTTCCACTCAGCCCCGATTTGCTGTGGGGCCTGCGTCAAGTTGTGTGATACCTCTGTTATAACATCTGCAAAATGGAGATAACACTGCACGCTACCACCTCAGAGAGCTGTTAGAAGATTAGATGCCAAAAAAAGAAAATCCTCAAAGCCCTCTGAGTTTCTTATAAATATAAGACATGCAATGTAATAAAATACCAGCACCCTCTACAAAACTCCTAGAAATAGGAAACAGAGGCCAGCAGTGTGACGGGGCAAATAACTCACAGGGCATTACATTTAAGACCGGGGAGGCGGTGGGCAATTCTGCCCTCAGCTCCCAGGGAAAAGGTGGGAAAATAATGCTGAAATTCAGATCCACTCGAACCAAACAAAGCAGCCAGGGAAAAGAAAACAACAGTACTGTTTCAACAGATAACCAACGGATCAAAAGAAGCAATCTTGACAAATAAAATTCCAGATTCTTGCTTAAAGGTCTAGATCTACACAAAGACAATCAGGTGACAGCACTACACTGGTAGTTTTCACGTGTAGTAAAGTCTTGTATTAAAGTAAATTGGTTCCCCAGAGGACTGAGTGTAATGACCCCCTCACAGTGAATAAAACTGAAATGCAGAATACATAAATTAGAGTATTTTTAATCAATTTGCACTGGAAACAAAAGCCAAAATGAACTGTACAAAGCCAGCTAAAAAACAATTATTTTGGGGTCCACAGGAAATTGATAGATTATTAAATATGCATGTATCTTAAGGTAGTCTAAATTATGGAAAATTTAAAATTGATCAAATACACACACATTTATTACATTATATATTATTATATCAAGTACTTATTGTGGGTCATATGTCAGATTAAAATAAAAAAGATGAGAAATATCCTATTCCCGGTTCTCATGAAACCCAGTCTAGCAAGGAGGAGACTTAGACACAATGGGTTAAAATTCAAGTATAAACAGTGCTGAGGAAGAAGAGATGGGGTAAGTAATTCAGTCTGCATGGAAAAGGAGAGACAGGTGCAGTTCAAGAAATTTTCAGAGAATCTGACGCTTGGATGAGACCTTGCACAATAAGCACTACTTCACCACATGTGGAAGAAGGAAAAGGGCTTTCTGCGTAAGGAAGCAGCAGCCCATGTCTCAGGGCATGTCTCAGTATGTCCTAATCGGTATGTCCTAAGTGCAGCACTATGGGGACAATCTGGGAGAGCCAGAATTGTGAGGTCTTTGTGGCAGAGAGAGAGAGGGAGCATCACAAGATGATACTTTGAAAAGAGACTTGATATTTTCTATAATCCAAGATATGACACTGAGGCAAAATGAACAGAGCAGGGGAGGTGGCACCTGCCCCAGGCATGAGACAGACTCTAGATAAATGAACAGCATTGCTGAGGCCAATTCTCTATGGGTACGTGAGGTAGATATAAAGCAGTGCTGCTAAAGGGGGTGACAAGCTTAACCATGACTCAGGAATGGTCAGGACTTGGGTCTCCAGGAGAAATAGCAGGCCCAAATTAAGCGAGTAAAACACAGTGCAGCAGACTGAATTAGTTCCTCCAAAGACAGCAAGTCCTAATCTCTGGAACCTGTAAATGTTTCCTTCTATGGCAAAGACTTTGCAGACATGATTAATTTAAGATTCTGAGACAGACAGAGATTACTCTGGATTAGCCAGTCGGGCCCTACATGCAGTAACAAGTATACTTATTAGAGGGAAGCAGAAGGGGATTTGGCTACAGACAGAAGAGTAAAAGGCAATGTGATGATGGAGGTAGATATAAGAGTGATGTAACCACAAGCCAAGGAATGTCAGCAGCAACCAGAAGCTGGGAGAGACAAGAAACAGATTCTTCCCTAGGGCTCTGGAGAGAAAGCATTCCAATGCTGATGCCTAAATTTCCATTGTTTTAAGCCCCCAAATTTGTGGTAATTTGTTACTGGAGTCACAGGAAACTAATACACACAGTGAGTAACGAATCATCTCTCAGGTGCTGTTGGGTGTCACAATCACCAGCCAGTACTGATAAAAATAATTCAGACAGAAGACACCTCAACCATCAAGAAGAAGTTGAAGTCCAAGCTGAAGCCTTAAAAAAAAGGCTAGGTTACTGAACTGAGTAACTGGCCAAAATTTACACAATGGGACTCCAATAAAAGCCCAGGTTAAGTCAATACCAGATAGATAGTATTGACAGCCACCAAATGATGGCACATGGCGAAAAATAGGAGAGAGACAGCAACTCAGAGGACATCACTGGGCCACTGAATTTCTGATCTAGGATAGTCACTTAATTTTAAGTGCCCATTGGACATGGGAAGAGGTAAAAAGGGGGATGGAAAACATTTACATGCATCCTGCCTCAATCAGGACTGACTCAAGACCGGGATCAGGACTAACCCATGAAATCAAAGAAATTAGTGGATCCAGGTATGGAAAGATTGTGGAAACGAGACAGATGGGACACAGAATGTTAAAAAGCTTTAACTGTGCTCTAGCCTATAAGGAAAATAACTCAGTGAGATCTTTTTTGGGAGAGTGGGAGCAAGGTAGGATTATCCCCAGTAGACTGGATGGCCCAGTAGGAAGGTAAATGAACCAGCCAAGACTGGAGATGATAGAGACCAGATATAAGAAAATGGAGATGGATTAGAAAAATATTTAAAAGACATGGCAGGTCATTGAAATAGGGAATGAGTGGCTGGTAGGGCACGAGGACAGCAGGTAAATGACAAGACCAATCTTTGAAGTACATAGAAGAAAAGGTTTTGGTAGGACAGAAAGAATGAGTTTGTCTTTGGCTAGACTGAATTTAAGGTATTGATGGGTCATGCCAAGGGTGACAGCCAGAAGTCACTGGAACCCAGATCTAAAACTCAGAATGTCAAAAATGTTTGAACTATTTGAAAAAGTTATCTACAATGTGCTCTTTCATCTTCTTCCTCCTGACCCATCACTATGAAAGGAATCCCCAAAAAAGTTCCTAAACTTTTAATATCCTAAAAACAACATTTTGGAACCATACTCATACCACCCACTCATAAGAAAAAAACCTTGCATTGGCAGCACTTAAAAGTAAACGTATTAGAAATTTTCTAAGAAGAGGAAAAAAATTCTTACCCTTAGTCATTTCCCTTTTCTGTTAGTTTTGAGGCCATCTGGTGGAATGGACAACAGAGGACAGCTATGCATGGTTCACGGGTAGTTGAGAAGGACATTTGCGGAGGACACAAAGGATGACCTGATGATGGAAAAGAAGGCATATTTTTGAAAGTTGCAGAGGACATCAAATTAGACTCTGCCAGAGCAGTAACTACAGATTTACAAAGAGAGCAAAAGCTCCAATACGTTCACTAATATGGACACCTGGGAAAAGAAGTGAGAAAAAAAGTTAATAAGGACACAGATCTATCTGGAAAAGAAAATGTATGCTATAAATCAGCTACAGATTCTGTGTTCCTTTCCACCAAAACACTCAGGCGTACCGTGCTCTATTACAGAGTGGAGCAGCTTCCCTTCTAGCCTGTAATTTATCATGGCTCATACTAGCTGAAATGTGGAAATGGCTTAGAGGGACAGTATCTGAAATTCCAGATTAGATAGTCTGGGAGGGATGACATGTGGGAAGGCAGCAAGGTTTACTGTGAAGATGCAAAGGACTATGCTATAACCTCTGTCCTCAACCAATGGGTGTAAAGACAAATAAGGTTCTTTAGCCCTACAATGGGGACCACAGCAGGCAGAGGTGACAATAAAATAGCACCTTTATCTTAAGCTTTTAGACTAACAAATATCCAAAGTGAATAAAGACCTAGTAAAATATAGGTAAATAAACAAACAAACATAAGAACCAATCAAGTCTTATTTGCAAGACCTGTTATGAAAACACATCTCTCTCAGTGTCTCTGTTTAAACTTCAAAGGTCATGAGAAGTTCAGGCAGTGCTGATATTCCAGAATGGAGGACATTATCAACAGAAGCCCAAACCACACCCAAAATTCATCACACCACCTGACATTTGCATAGTGCTTACACGAAGGCTGCCTCATAACACCTCCTCCAATCCCAAGCAAAGCCATGCATATGCTGACTCCCCCAAATTTTAACCATGGATTCACTCCACATGTTTTTATTTAGTGCCTACTATATAAATCATTCTAAGGGAAAAAATACAAATAAGCAATAGCATCTGTCCTTAGGGAGTTAAAAACTGATTAAGTAAAAAATATAAAACATGAAAATATAAAAATGAAAAACTTAAAATGGAAATTTAAAAAAATAGGCAGGTCACAGTTAAATATTCTCACAAGGCAAGAAATGAGAGAAAAAAGCAGGATTATGGGCTTTTAAGTGGAGAAAAGTATACAAAGGAAAATGGGAAGATATGAACTGAAGTTCATGAGACATGAATGAAAGATGCATGAGTGGAAATGTGGGAAGTGGAGATTCCAAAGGACTGGAACAAATGAAGAAAGAGCCCAGTGTGATGCAAGTTATGACTTCAGCATAAACACAAATTCTTGCTACAGAATAGAAGATGTTAAGGGCAAATGACGGCAGGGCCAAATGAAGACGAGCTGATGGAGGAGTCTGGGCTTTACTTAGAACCACTCTAAGTGTTAGGTCAGGAGTGAAACATATACTGTGGGCTTTCATCACAAAGCTACACAGGGAAGAGAGGAATGAGCACCTTCGTCTCAGAGGCTAGTTAAAAAGCTGTTATAATACTCTAGGCATGAAACCCTGAGTTCCTGACCAGGTAGGAAGAAGATGAAAGAGGGATGGTTAGGGGGAAAGAGTACTAATGGAAAATGCGAAGATCTGAGCGACTGTGTGGATGAAGAGGGTACAGGATGGGGAAAGCTAAGAATTGCCTGGGATCGGTAACTGGGAATATCAGGATGTCATTACTAAGGCCCTGGGAAGGAAGACAGTGGACACAGTTTGAGAAATGATTCTGAAGACACTGAATTTGAAGTGGACATAGTAAAACCTGGATGAAATACCTTCTAGAGAGAAGAGAGCCAATGTGAGCTCTAATGACTGAAGAGACAGGGTTAGAAGTCATCACCCTGGGAAGAGATTGAAATAATAAAACAGGCATAGAGAAACCATTTGGAGGAAGAATTCAGGAGCTATGGGCTGAAAGCGTTTTGAAATTTCTCAAGCACACATCACAGTTTCTGACTTCGTGGCAAACTATCAGGAAAAATTCTAAACCAAAGAACTTGGAAATACTTCAGAGATGACATTGGACTTATACAGGGAACATATTTCTCAAACTATTTCAAAGACAAACATCTAACAAGCAAAAGTCATCCTAAAATATCAAGCTATCAATTTTATGGTCAGTAATGGCATTAAAAAAAGTCCTGTGGAATTTAGCTATATAAATAAATTATGGTTAACTAATAACCTGATTTTAATCACTTAACACCATGACCAAACAAAACAACCAAATGTCACCAGCAGGTATGTAGGATCTGGTATTTTTAGTGCCCCCTCACCCTCACCATTGAAAACCACAATAACAGCCATTGACATACATGTTTATGGTTCCTTGGGACCACAAACATTGTAAACTTTAGTGTCAAAGAGTTAACAGAAGGTTTCTCAAACTGGAATGATAAACTAAATGTTTTCTCAGGTTGTTTTCAACCCTCTGAGGCAGGATAGTAAGAAGCTAGGGAAATTCCTTAGCAAGTGGAATGGGGAAACTGAGACGATAGCTAACAAACTGGCTGAGCAATTTACAGCCATATACAGAAGGTCGTCTCCCTAGAGATAACATCTAGGCCTCAGTTGTGTTTCAGCTCCAGGCCCAGAAAAGCAGCAAAACCAGGTGGGTGATGCCAGGACCAGCTGCAATGACAGACGACCCCCTGCCCTGGTGCTGACCAATCACTGGAGTCCACAACCCTGAAAGAGCACACCTGGAAAAGCTGGTGAATATTCTATTAAAATCTTCCCCTAAATTCCCAGCCTTTAAAAACGCTCGAAACAAAGAACCCAGGGTGTGCTTTTTCCCTCCCCCCTCTTCCCCCTCAGGCGTGCATCTCCTAAACTCTAAGGGACCCCAGAAGACTTGCAACCAGGGGACCAATGGACAGCGGCAGCTCCTCCCGGGCTAACCCCTGAACCTGTCTCCAAGGGTTCCCTCCCGGGCTAACCCCCTGAACCCCCTTTTTCTCTGACTTCTTAGTGAACTAAAGCAGTCCAGCCGAGGCTCTCCTGTTGCTTCTTCTATGCTAAGCCCTTGCTTGTGTCACTGTCCCCAGCTTTAATATGCGTCCTCTCAAAGTCAACTGGGCTGGTGCTGTGAAATCTTTCCCCGCACAAGGGACCCTCACACTCCAGCCGGCCCTAGGCAGACCCGCTCAGGGCCAGGTCCCCTTCCCGGTAACACTTCTGGTAGAGAACCCAAATCTAAAAGTCATTTCCACAGCTGAACAGACAGAGATCTGAAGCATGCCATTAACTGGGGAAGAAGATATGGCTTCCGCATACAAGTAAAAACATAATCAAGTCTTGTCTTCCAGTTAAAGATGTCCCAGTGTATTAAAAACAAACAAAAATTACACTGCCCTCCTGCCTCATTTCTTCCCCCTCCTGCAGTAAGCCACCAAAAATAAGAAGGAAACTATGTTATCAAACAATAAAATCTAAAAGTAGTGCCTAACATTTGCCAGTAATTTGTTTAGTAATAATGGCCAACATTTATTTAACACTTATTATATATCTGGTACTGTTCTAAGCTCTTAAATATCTACAAAAAACATATGTGATAAGTAGCATTACCACCAACCCCATATTATAAAAGGAGAAACCAAGGCCCAGAGAGGCTGAGCGAGTTGCCCAAAGTCACATCCTTAGTTTAAAGTGGAGCCAGGCCTTGAATCTAAGAAGAAGGATTTCAGTGCCTCACACTCGACCTCCATGCTGTCTGTCCTGTTTCTCAAATACATGCTCCAACACCACATGTCCTATTAACAACAAAAAAAAGTAAACCATTGTTGAAAGACAGTAAACACTGTCTATGACATAAGTGTTTCTTGATTATTTCAAAAATCTCCAAGAGTACCAGATACAAACAAACCAAAGAAAATAGCAATATACACACATGGACACACACTTTTTAAGGAGAGTTTAAATAAAAGAGATTCCAGTTGGATGTAGAGAAATTTTTGACCATTTAGGGTGACCAAAAATAAAATAAAAAAATTTTAAAAAGAATGAATGATACTAAAAGCCAAGTTGTAAACATTCACTCCTGAACATCTTGTGTGTACACACACACACACACACACACACACACACACATATGGCACTTCTGATGCACATTTATCCACTTTTTAAACTCAAGTTTAGACTAAATGCAGCATTGCTTTTAAGAAAACTTTGGGATGTTTTCTGCACTTCACCCTCCTAATTTTTCTCCCATTTTCCCTGATCGTGGTCTAAATCTGTTTTTAAAAGAGCTATACAAGCATCTGTCACATGATCCTTGGTAAGCACAACAACTTTCATTATAAACTGGTGTTTTAACCTGTATTTGTAAAGAATACACTTTAACTGAAGGCCTTCACAACTAACTAGTTAATTGTGTTTCTGATCAAATGTTCTCACTTGGCTAATTCTACCTAAGATATTTACTTGTTACCTTATTTCAAAACATAGAGGAGAATGTCATCCTAAAAATAGCTATTGAAAGACAGAGAAGAAAGCAATCAAGGATGTACTGAGGAAATGCAATTGTCCATGTGATTTTATTTCAGATATGGGTAGAGGAGGGAACAGTTTTGGATCCGCTCTCCCATGATCCTGTGACCATCCAGAGTTGACAATGAAGAACACAAGTGTTAGGTATGTCACATGGTTCTACTGGACCAAAGTGTCAGAAAGGAGTTTTAAGAACAGGGTGCCAGAAATGGCATTAAAAGCTTTATCAACAGCTGCCAGAGAGATGGAAAAGGCCTCAGCCTCACCATGACCTTATCTATCACATGAGGTCCTAGTGAGTCCTTTCTTCATCACCAAGGTGGCGCGGAGAATGCTACAGGAAGCGAGGGTGGTCATGCGTTTCTCTTTCTGGCTGCACACCTCTTCTCTTCCTAACGCCCAAGGTAATGCTGATGGATAAATGAGATCAACAGGGAAACAGTCTTTCAAACCCATGGCAATAAGGAGAGCCACAGAAGCCAGAAACTCAGCAATTCAATTTTTTTAAATACTAAATAAAAT